GCGGAGGCGCCAAACTCTGCGGGTAGGGCGGGGAGCACGGCAGAGCGCGGGCTGGACGGTGTCAGTCGTCTGGGAGGAGCGGGCCTGCAGGCCAGAGGAGGCGCCGGCAGGATGCTCGAAGTCCTGGTGCTGAAGGTGAGCGCGTGGCCTCCGCTGACCCCACCCCACCGTCCTGTCTTCAGTAAATCGTGCTGGAAAACTGAATATCCGTGTGCAAGGGAGTGAATCTTGACCTTTACCTAACACCATATAGAAAAATGTTGTGTACCCAGTACTGGGAATTGAACCCAGGGCCCTTGCATGCTAGGCAAGTGCTCTATCACTGTGCTCTACCTCCAGACCTTTTTGTTTTATTTTGAGGCAAGTCTCATTCAGTTTCCCAGGTCGGCCTTGAATTTGCAAATCTTTCAGCCCCAGCATCCCAAGTAGCTGGGTTTACAGGTGTATGTTGCTGTGCCCAACAGAATTTCCTTCCTAAATTAAGGCTGAATAATATTCCATTGTGTGTATTTACCGCATTTTACTTTTCCATTCATCTGCTCATGGACATTGGGTTGTTTTCATGATTTCATTATTGTGAACACTGATGCTATGACCACAATGTACACATATCTCTTCCTATATTCTTTTTTTAGTTTTCTGGAGTCTTTGCTGAATCATATGCTAATTCTACTTGTAATTATTTTTAAATGACTGTTTTCCACAGTGGCTATACTATTTCACATTCTTAACAACAATATACAAGGGTTCCACTTTTTCTGTATCCTTATCAATAACCTGCTATTTTATAGTTTTTTTTTTTTTTTTTTTTTTTTTTAGTAGTAGCTCTCCTAATGAGTGTCAGGTAGTAGCTCATTGTGATTTGGAGATGGAATCCGAGTCCTTCCTGGTGATTACATTTCTCAGGAATAGCTTTCAGGTTCTTTGAGAAAGACACATGAGTTGTAGATACATATTTACAATTGTAAGCCCTTTTAGTAAGTGCTCTAAGAAAGGGAGGTGGGGCTGGGCCAGATACAGTGAATTATCCTGGCAGCATTGAATTTTTAAAAAAAAAATTTTTTTAGTTGTTGATAGACCTTTATTTTATTTATTTATATGCGGCGCTGAGAATCAAACTGAGTGCCTCACACGTGCCAAGCAAGTGCCCTACCACTAAGCCCCAGCCCCTGAATTTTCTTATGTAGGCATTTTGGTGGGAACCTTAGTCATCCTAGGGATGTGGCCACCTGCTGCTAGAAGCCATGCTAGAGTTTGGATGTCCCTAAGTGAAAAAGATTTGGCAGAGTTGTTACTATATTTTTGTTCTATGTTTTTGTTAAATATCAACTAAAACTTTTTCTTTCAGTCTTCCAGCTGTTGGTCTTCTCTGGACTCCTTGGAGTCTCACCTAAGCTGTTGAGGATATGCCAAAGATGTGAGGGGCTTTATATGCAGACTTTAGAGCTCCCTCTCTTTGGCCCTCCTTTTCTTGTTTCTCCCCTTAGTTTTCAGCTGCTCTGGCAGCTCCAAAACTCTTTTCTCTGATTCCCCAAACAACATACATGTGCCTTTCTGCTTGAGGTGTAAGAGTCTTCATACCACGTGGCTGAGGGTTGGGCGCTGGAGGGGTGGGTAGGGGGGACCTGGGAAAAGCTGTTTAACACAGTGAGGTTTCCTTCTTTCAGGAACCAAATCTCTTCCAGGCTTTGGCTGCTTTTGGCAGCTCTTCAGTGCCTTCAAATTGTTTTGGTTTTTTCCAGGGCTTATAATTGTTTCTTGCAGATGTCATAAGGATTGTTCTGCCATTACTTGAATCAGAATGACCACTGTTCTTTTTGCCAATTTTTTCATTATAAAAATGTTCAAATATTTGGAAAAAGTAGAAATAATACTACTACAAACATCTGTGTTCCTGCTCGTTAGTTTTTAGGATCCCCAAATCTTGGGACATCATTGCTTCTAGGCCCTTTCACTAGGCAGAGCTAGGAAATACACTTGAAAAGTCATGAATTCTTCTATTTTCAACTCAGAGTTAACTTTTTAATATTTTCATCTTATGTCTAATAATGAGAATCTTGGTTTCTCATAATAATAACATGTAACCAGATATATTCCAACAGGTTTGACTTTAACTTCATTCTTCCTTCCACCATAGGTAATAGTTATATTTATTTTGGTTTATTTATCATCTTTTATTTTTAATATTAGTATAATATACATATATTCTTATTTATTTCTCCTTCTTTAGAAAAACAATGTTAAAAATATTGGCCTGACACCCTTGCTTGTATATATTATTATGTTTTCAAAATATGGAGATAAAGGGCATTTCTGCTTTTCATAGCACATAATTAAGAATTACATATTGTTGCTTACACACTTTGGTATTTACATTTGGTCTGACTATTTAAGACAAAAATACTTGTTAAGAATTTGTTAGATCACTTATGTTGGAAATAGTTATCATGTTTGTAAGGTTTATCATTTTATGGTTCTATTTTTAAATCATGCATTTTCTTTTAACAATTTTACAGATTGAAGATCCAGGTTGCTTCTGGGTTATTATAAAAGGATGTAGTCCCTTTTTAGATCATGAAGTAGACTACCAAAAACTAAATACTGCCATGAATGACTTTTATAACAGCATGTGTCAAGATATAGAAATAAGGCCATTAATATTGGAAGAAGGGCAGGTATGTATCTAAATGTGGTTTAATCACCATGTCTTGAAACACTACTCAAAATGTAAAGTACTTTGTCACCTAAGGTGATAAAATCTTTTGGAGTAATGTTAGTTGTTTATAATCATTGCCTGGCTTTAGGATTTTTAGCACAAGATAGAGCCTAGCCATGCAAAGACGGTGGTTGTGTAGGATTCATGTGGAGCAATAGGAAATGGCATAACATCTAAATCCAGGCATTAGGATCATATTCCTGGGTCTGGGAATGAAGAGATTATCTAAATCTGCTGCAGGTGTAGGCACTTCAGCAGAGGGCTTGGAGTTTTCAGTCTTGTACTGACACCTCCCTTTTAGCCCCAGCTTGTGTTTCTTTCTTTTCTTTTTTTTTACTCCACATCGTGGCCTTTTTTTTGCCTTCTTGCCATGTCACTGCCCATTGTCCACTGTGTGATTGTCTTGACATTGACAAATCAGCATTCGTAAGAAGAGTTTGAATTCTTTTAGTGGTGTGATGGGAACTTTTTTTTTTTTTAAGAGAGAGAGAATTTGTTTTAAATATTTATTTTTTAGTTCTCGGTGGACACAACATCTTTATTTTTTTAATTTTTATGTGGTGCTTAGGATCGAACACCCTGCGAATGCCAGGTGAGCGCTACTGCTTGAGCCACATCCCCAGCCCCAAGGGAAAATATTTTATAAACTCTTTTTGAACAAACTAGAAAACATTTTAATCTCTTTCCCTCAAAATCATTAATAATTTATTTTATTATTTTTTTATACCATTGCCTTATTGAAGGAATGAAACCAGCTCATTTGTCCTTTTTCTTTCTTCTATTTTTAAAAGTATTTTACATTTTGGACTCCCAAGGGCTTCCTTTTGGAGGTGGACTGATAGTTAAGTAGAGTTAAATATATAGCTTTGGATAGATACAGGGTCACTTTTTTTCTCTTAAGAATGTGCTGTGAAGTTCATGTTGTATTGAATTGGAAAGTAACATCACTTTTTGGTGGTGCTGTGATTGGCCAGTGGATTCACGTGGTGACAGCCTAATCCCTCCCTAGGATGCTGCCTGTGGTTTCTCCATTCTGTAGTGACCACGTGGCATGCATCAGCTTTTATTCATGCTTTGGACATGGTGATTTCTCATTCCCTCTGCATCCATGAGCTGGAATTCTGTGTGGAATCTTCCCTCCTTTATTAGGACTGAAATAATACACTTTATACTGTAAAGAAAAAGTTGCTTGATCCTTTCCCCAGTGCATTTTCAGCATGATGTTCTTCCATTGGTGTTCAGAGGTTCATTTTGTTTTTCTTTCTTCTATTTTGTATGTGTGTGGTGCTAAGAATTTAATCCAGAGCCTCATGCATGTTATGTTAGGCAAGTGTTCCACCATTGAGCAACATCCCTAGTTCCTTTTCTTTTCACTTTTAAGTGCCTTTTAGTTTCATTTTTATTTTTCTGGCTTGTAAATGTTTTCTTCAATTATAATCACCGTTCAGCTTGATACTTAAATTATTTAATTTTTGACAAGCAGTAGCCTTAGTATAACACAGTTTCAAAGTTTACTAGTTATGTGAACTATTAAATAGTCAAACCATTCTTACAAGTTGCATGAATTTTAGCATTAAATATAAATACCCTGTATCCTTTGTCAGATGCTGAGAGCCATAGCCAAGTACGAATGACACATGGCATTTTGGGTTGAAAGGTGACCCTGCTCAGGGATTAGGGTGGCTCCGGGTTTAGGGTGGATCCTGCTGGGAATAGGGCGGCTCCTGGATTAGGGCGGATCCTGCTGGGATTAGGGCATATCCTGCTGCCTCAGGTGCCTGCTCCTTTGGAGTTCCCGTTGAGTTCTTGTTCTCGTTGGGTTCTGAGAGAATTGGTGCACGGAGCCGGAGCCGGGTGGAGGCAGTGTATTCCCAGGTAGTGTGTGTAGAGTGTCGGTGAGAGTTCGGGTATAAAGAGTTGCTGTTGGAATCTACAAGGTTTTGTGGTGGCTCCGTTATTTTGTGCCCAGCCAGACTGCGGCAGTCAGAATTTATCTTGAATCATTTGAATTATGTGAGGTTCTTAGGCGCTTATCCCTTACAGTGTGGCTGTACCATACTTTCCAGTTTCAGTTCCAGAGGTCAAGAATCTCCACTGGTCCACTTCTTCCCTGACTGGGCACAGCTCTTGCTACTGGCTGACTTTATAAGCCTGTGGTCAGCATATAATTTGGTTGGCCATGGAATACCTGTTGAGTATGATGGTCCTGTGGTTCAGTCAGGATGCCAAGGACTGTCACTTAAGTGGAGTGGTTCCCCTTAAGAGAGGCTTTTGAAGACTTAGTATATGCCAAGCACCATGCTGGGTCCTGGAAATATGGCAGTAAGCAAAACAAAAATATACATTTTCATGGACCCAACATCCGTTTATGATGGATAGTAAACAAATTTAGAGGGTAGGAAAAGCCATGCAAGGGAATGAAGAGGATGACCCTGGGGTTGCAATTTTATATCAGTCTGATGCATATTAATAATCATTTGTAAGCTTTCTGATATAGGAAGGTAAAGCAATGCATTTTAAAATTCTTATTTTCTAAAAATTTTCCTTAGTTAAGGAGTCAGCATGATTTCATAATGGTCCCTCTTACCTACCTGCAAGGGATATGTTGTTCTAAGACCCCAAGGGAATGCCTCTCTATATACACTGTATTTTTTCCCATCCATTAATACTTATGATAGTTTATGGATTAGTCACAGTAAAAGATTAATAATAACAAATAAAACAATAATTATAATAATACACTTTAATAGTTTTCACTTTGGGGCCATTAAGTGTTACTTAAACGTAAGTACCTGCAATATTGTGACAGCTAAAATGACTACTAAAATGACTACTGAGTGATTAATGGGCAGGTGGCACATGCATCATGAGTATGGTAGACATTCTGGGATTGTTGGAAGGAGATAGTGAGATTTCATCACACTGCTCAGAGTAGAGCACAACTTAAAACTTGTGAATTGTTTATTTCTGGAATTTTACATTAATATTTTCAGGTTTTGGTTAACCAGTGAGTGCTGAAATTGTGGATTAGGGGACTACTGTAGTAAGAAAAGCAGTGGAACAGAATCTGGTTGACTCACGTTCTTCCTAAAGTTCTTTTGCTAGAAGACTAGTTTAGCTTAGGCAGGTCCAACCTCTGGAATCTCTCCTCTTCTGTAAGGTAATGCCGCTGAGGTAGTTTCAGGAGGACCTTTTGGTTCTCTTATGTGACTAGAGATTTTTTTTTTTAAGAGAGAGTGAGAGAGGGGGGAGAGAGAGAGAGAGAATTTTTAATATTTATTTTTTAGTTCTCGGCGGACACAACATCTTTGTTGGTATGTGGTGCTGAGGATCGAACCCGGGCCCCACGCATGCCAGGCGAGCGCGCTACCGCTTGAGCCACATCCCCAGCCCGTGACTAGAGATTTTTAACACCAAACTTAAAAATCAAAACTTTCCTTTTCTTTTGTAGGTTTGTGTGGTTTATTGTCAGGAACTAAAGTGCTGGTGCAGGGCTGTTATTAAGTCAATCATATCTTCAGCAGACCATTACCTGGCAGAGTGTTTCCTTGTGGATTTTGCCAAATACATTCCAGTAAAATCTAAAAAGTACGTATGCATGTATTTTGCCTTAACACTCTTTAAGGAGACAGATGTCAATTTAAAGAAGAATGTCCATTTTTAAAGTAAGGTGACAAAGGTTATCTTTTTTTCTAATATTTATTTTTTAATTGTATTTGGACACAATATCTTTATTTTATTTATTTTTATGTGGTGCTGAGGATTGAACCCAGGGCCTCGCACATGCTAGGTGAGCCACAATCCCAGCCTCCAAAGGTTATCTTTTGAGAAAAATGAAACTAGAATTTTTTAACTTGTCAAATGGAAGACTTGTAAGTTCTAATTCTGTTTTCATTGACTGGAATAACAGTGGTCAAATGAGACTGAGGGCAGCCTGTCTATTCTCCACCTTCCTTCCTGGAAAGGGCAAAGAGGTTCAGGCCCTTTTCTTTGCATCTCCTGTAGATCCTTCGCCAGCTATTCTCTGTTCTATTCCCTCTATTTGCTCTGTGATGGAGCAAGTCCATTAGGGGAGAGTGGCTGCAAGAAAGATAGTAGCAGGAGGTGGAGAGGAACTCTTATCTCTCCAGAAGGGTAGGTTGCTGTCTCAGCCTAAGGTTGCAGAGATCAGAGTGTGTGCTCAAGTGTGTATTCCTGATTGTCCTACTTACTAAAGTGAGAGCATGGCCATGGCTTAAGGTGAGGAGAGAATTCGTAATGAGCTGGTAACTAGCTGGTGACTAGGCAGCCTTCACTGATTCTGGGGCCACATGTCACAATTTATTAGAAAATGCTAGCAACAAGTCAGTCTCAGCGTTTTGTGATAACTTTTCCAGTTTCCTTCCCAGGATAAGAGATTGTCAATTCAATAAATAAATATGAGGACTTTCTTCTACTGAAGGAGGAGCAATACCAAGTAGACTTTAGTTGTAATAAGAGAGGTATCCTGAATAGAAATATTTGTGGCACAAGGACTTGCCAGACATTGGGAATTTATAGATACTTAGGAAAAAGTAGATAACCTTTCCAGCTTACAATTCTGCACCTTTACAGTCATAATTTTTATAAAAATAACTGTTGTGTTTAACTGTTGGGAAGATTGTTTTTTGTATTTGGTGTTTTAGTTTAGTTTGATTGGGCAGGAGAACAATATGATGAAATAAAGCAATCACCTTTTCCTAACCTTTATGAGGCAAAAGATGACACACATATAGGCATAATGAGAATCTGGGGAAGAAACAGTTCATGTTGAAATAATGTGGTAAAGTGGACTGTCATTTGCCTTAATAAGAATAAAAATGTTGAACTTTTTTTTCCTTTTGTGGTGCTGGGTGTTGAACCCACGCATGCTAGGCTGGGACTTTATGCATACCAGGCAAGCACTCTGTCACTGAGCTGGACACCTATCCCAGCCTGGTGCTGAACTTATTTATCAAATCTCAGTCTTTTAGTTCTTTTGTGCAAAATTGGCAAATACTAATTATTAAAACATCCATCTGTTTATAGAAACTTTAATATAATTATCATATACTGATGTTGATATTTGAAAATCTTAAATAGAATTTCTTCACAGGTTTATTCATTATTACCCAATATGTCTCAACCTCCAGAGCCTCATTAAGACATTTTTACCCTAAATTTTTGCCCCCCCGCCTTGAAATTTTCATACCACAGATATGCTGACCATCTATTTATGTACCATATGTATATTTGTGCTTTGTACACAAAATGAGTAAGATTCTTTTTTTTTTTTTTTAACTCCTCAGGAAAGAGTTTTTGCCCCTTGGCTAAATACATCCAAGTGCTGTAGGTAGTACATTAGAAACAATATTTTCTATGTGTTTTGTTTTACATTAAGTATATTGATTATGTATTATATAGGTATACTTTAAATGACTATATTGTGTACAACTTTTATTTGTAATGGAACTATCTCTGCTTCACTTTTAAGCATCCGGGTTGCAGTAGAATCTTTTATGCAGCTTCCCTATAGAGCAAAAAAATTCAGACTGTATTGCACAAAACCTGTTACATTACACATTGACTTCTGTGAAGACAATGCTGAAATTGTGTAAGTACAGCTTCTTCAATAGTTTGAATCATTAAAAAAGTCTTAAATCAAGTGTTTATTTGAAATCTGTTCCTCCATAAGAATGCTAAGAAATTTCACAGATCTCTGTTCTGCAAGAGTTGGCTTCTGAGTCACTGTCAAATCTGGCTGTGCAGCAGAGTCCCCTGGGGCAGAAGTTGGGGTAGGGGGAAGTTAGAAAAGGGCCTGTGCTTCTCGCCCTTTTTATTGTTGTTTTTTTTTTTAACTTGTAAAAAGTAATAAGGTATCTATAAAGAAAAAAGAAAGCAGGATCACGGACCATGAAAAGTATATTAACCAGGCATGGCGATGCACACCTGTAGTTGGGGGGCTAAAGCTAAGGTAAAAGATCACTTGAGCCCAGGAATTCAAGGCCAGCCTGGGCAACATAGCCCCTGGCTCAAACAAACAAACTAACATTTATTGCATTTCTCTCCAGCCCTGTGTCCTCCCTTCTATGAGGCCTTGTGGTCTATTAAACTTCTGAACTTCTAGAACCCTGTCAGTGCTTTTATACACATCTCAATTTCATGAATCTTTCAATGAAAATTAGAACACGCTGACTTATTAGCAAGATTAACTTAAGATTAACTTAAGAATGTATGTTGGAGCTCTTTACCATTAATTTTTTTTCATGAGTGGATGTAATTATCTTACTTGTACTTAACCATTCTCCTCTTGATAGCTAGCTACATTATTTCCATATGATTTGGCATATCCATAAAATATGTGATGACAAGAGATAGACACTGTGCACACGCACTCTCCTGTCTTTGTTCCTTTTTACTAGTATCTGTTCATGGTGCTAGTGTTTGTACAGAAGCACCCTGTATTGTGCAGTATTTTGTCAGGTATAAACTTGATCTGTTATTTTATTATTATCATAATTATTCAGTGAAAACAGTTGTACTAATTAATAGTTTCTTTGTGACATTTCCATGCATTATGTTGTGCTTCAGTCATGTCCACTGTCCCTTCTTCTCTCCTACATTTTCTGGCCTTTCCCTCTGTCTTTCTTACCTACTGGTGTACCCACATGCAATACATGTCTTTCTGTGTCTGGCCAATTTCACTTACTATGATAACCTTCAATCCAGTCCATTTTCCTGAAAATGATGTGATTTTATTCTTCTTTATGACTGAATGGTACTCCACTGTATATAACACATATATTTTTAATCATCTGTTGTTGTGCACTTAGGCAGATTCCATATCTTGGGTATTGTGAATACTGCTTCAAGTAAACATGGGTATGCAGGCATTTTTTAATATGCTGATATCATTTCCTTTGGGATGTTTACCCATGAGTGGTATATCTAGATCATAAGATAGTTCTATTTTTTAGGTTTTTTTTAAATTTTCATACTGTTTTCCACAGTGACTGTACTAATTTACATTATACCAACAGTTTGTAAGGGTTCCTTTCTCTCCACGTTCTTGACAGCATTTATTATTTTTTGTATTTTTTATAATTGCTATTCTGAGTGGCTTGATTTCTGTGTCTGTAGCCAGTGGGGTCAATTCCATCCTTTCCCTTCAGAATTGTGGCACATAGAAAGAAAAGCCATAGGAATCAGCCCAATTCTGACTCCACTTGCCATGGCAGTGATGATGGTTTGTACTTTCTGAACTTGAAAGCCATAGCTGGGTGTAGTGGTATATACATGTAATCCCAGCCACTTGCAGTGCTGAGGCAGGAAGATCACAATTTCCATGCCAGCCTTAGTAATTTAGCAAGGACCTCAGCAATTTAATGAGACCTTGTCTCATAATAAAAAATAAAAAGGATTGAAGCACAGTGGTAGAGTGCCCCTGGGTTCAATCCCTGGTACCAAAACCAAAAACAAAACAAACAAAATAATTTGGAAGCTACCTCTCTGTAGATACTCTTTGAACTCTTTGAAGATCTTCCTCTCCTCTCCTCTCCCACCCACACCACCTGTACTTGAGGTGGTGAATATAACACTCTTGTGGCCTGCCTCAGAATCTACACTGATGAGATAATAAGCCAGCTTGTCTTTGTGAAAACCATTACTTCCCACAAGGCTGCCCTCCAGCCAGCGTGCATTGCCACTCATGCCCCTTTGCTGTGTAGACTCTGGGAGTAAGGGCCCTAGTGTGGCAGTACTCACTGCCTACTCAGTTTTTCTTGTTTCAGAGCAGCCAGCTGCTGACACTTAAGCATGAATCGGGCACCCGCCTATACAGCCCAGCTCCTCATTAGAGGAAGCCTACCCATTTCCTGTCTTGCTCCCTCTGCATGATCTCTTTCCCAATCTCAGTAGTCTGCAGGGGGCTTTCCCCAACTCTTAGATGGACCCCCACTCAACATGAAGATACATCCAGTATAGGTGAAAGACTTAAGATAAGTCGTCTTACTGAGTTTGATCCCATTCTTTGATGTGATAATTTTTCATTTGTACTTTATCTAAAATGCTTTTCTTAGTGTGTATTATATAATTTGTGATAGATTTTTCCATCCAAAAACCCTAGCAATTTTTACCACCATTGGGGTACAGAAAGTGCTGTTTTCCCCATACAGTATTGGAGTATTGCTAGGCTTTTAAATTTTTGTGTGTTTGTTAGGTAAAAATGGTACTTTGTTTTAATTTGAATTTTTCTGACTTGCAAAGTTGGATATTTCTTCATGTGTTTATTCTCCGTGAATGTGAGAAATAGACACTGATTGAGTTACCTGTTCATATGCTAGATTGATTTTTCTCTTGCATTTGTTTGCCTTATAGGAATTTACTATTTTCACATGTGTGTATATATTCCTTCCTTCCTTCCTTCCTTCCTTCCTTCCTTCCTTCCTTCCTTCCTTCCTGTACTGGGAATTGAACCCAGGACCTCATGCAAGGGAGGTAGCCCTTTTAATTTGTTTTATTTCAAAACAGTGTCTTTCTGAGATGCTGAGGCTGGCCTTGAACTTGAGATCCTCCTGTCTCAGCCTACTAAATAGCTGGGATTACAGGTGTGTGCCACCATGCTTGGCTATATATTTTTTAAATTTTTAGGTAAATTTTTTTTGTATGTAGCAAGAGTTTTGAACCACTGTCTTTTTTTTCCACTTTATTTGTATTTTTATGTGGTACTGAGGACCAAACCCAGTGCTTCACATGTGCGAGGCAAGTGCAAAACAAAACAAACAAAACAACTTGGAAACGACCTCTCTGGGGATACTTTTGGCCTCTTTGAAGATCTTCCTGTACTCTACTCTCCCAAGTCACAACTCCAGCCCCCCTGTACTATGTCTTTTTACAAATCCTTTGTAATTCTTTTAAGTAATGTGCTTAACCTCTTAGGGAAAAAATTATATATATATATACACATACATACATACATATATATACACACACACATACATACATATATATATATATATATACACACATATATTCATATATACATAAAATACCAATTATATACAGGTACTGGGCTGCATGTGTTATACACATTACCCTATTTTCCTTTAAAAGAACTTTTGGAGGATGGTGGTAGAATCTCTGATGGATAAGAACAGTAGAAGCATAATACAGACTAACCTAAAACTTTATTTTAGTTTTGTTCTTGCTACCAAATACTGGTTTCTCCTGCTTTTTCTGTTGCCTACAGCTGTTTTTCTTCCTTGCCAAAGCAAAAGAAAGATGTAGAAGGAGTGAGCTGATGGACATCTGATGGGAGAGGGCATGAAGGTTCTAGAGTCGGCTAAGGGAGGAATAGCTTGAGATGATAGTGACTGGGTTTCTCTAACCACCTTGTGGAGTGCTGGTTTAGCCAATGTCTGTCACATTGCTCTCCATGCCAGCCTGTGCTGGACATTGCACACTTTGGATCTCTTTCCCAGGGAGCTTGCATTCTGGCTGGGAAGACAGATTTGTCACAGGTAACTGGGGATGAGGGTGTTGCAACAGAAGATAGCATGGTATTGGGCACAACCCAGCAGGGCCTGACTAATGTGAGTCTCTGCAGTAGTGAAGGTGACCTTGGTTTTGCAGGATGTTCATAGAGTCTTCATGAGCAGAACAGAGCCAGAGACAATCTCCCTGCTACCTCTAGCAAATATGCTTTATATTTAATGCCAGAAATATTTAGTATATGGTTTACTAAATGAAATTAATATAGTAGGGTTATATTTTATAATGAAGTTTTATCTGTTTATTTTTCCAGCCCTGCCAAAAAGTGGGATAGTGCAGCAATCCAGTACTTTCAGAACATTCTAAAAGGTAAGACATTCACTGTACCCTCCTTTGAACTGACACTCGTGGTGGCTTACCCTTCCATTGATGAGGAGTTTTGATCTGTGTCTGCTTAGCTGGCACATGGGAGCTTCTTTCACATCAGTGTCACAGTGACTATACCCCCGAAACTTTGTGGGTGGATGCTGATGCCAATAATTAACAGCTGAAATAGAAAGTGGCTGTTTCTGTAGATGAACCCCCTACACAATAAACTTAAAAACTGCAGGGCTGTAGAATAAATTTATGTGAATTTTATTGAACTAACAATAAAAAACCTACCCTTTTTTAGTGAGCAAAGGATATTATGTAAAAATCATTATTGCTAATTTAAGATTTATAAAATGTATTTACTTTTTACTGTGTTATTTTATTTGAGTGGTTGTAAAATTAACCTCTTTTATGGCAACTGTCCTGACTTTTAGGGGCCCATGTCTGTGCCTCCCTCTTAGGGCTGTACTAAAGAACTAGTAGGTATGACCTGCCTAGGGTGCTGCCTGGAATGTAGTTGGGTCTTGGCTCTCCTGTGCTGCCCCTTTGTTTGAAAAAAGGAAAAGCCAGATGCTTTGAAACTGGGAGAAGTAGGAGGTTGGGGTGGTTGTCACTAGGTTTGGGGTTTGGGCTCTTGTGAGCCCATTATGGGGGATGCTAAGAGAGTATGGGTTTGGAGATGTAAACCCCCTGGGGTTGAATTTTGCCCATCCCCTTCTGTGTATGTAGCCTTGGGCAAGTTACTTAATTTTCTTGAACCTGGTTTTCTTACCTGAAAAATGATTGAAAAAAAAAAAAGGTTGTGATTAAAATCAAATGAAACCAGGTATATAAAGGACTTAACACAGTTCATGATAAGTACCCATAAATCGAGCTCCTGTTGGGTTCTCAAGACTGTGATAGAGTAGCTAAGAAGTTCAGTTCATGGGGTGTTTGGAGGAGAGAAGAGGTACTTGGAGGAAAGTTTATGACTAGAAATTTGGATGTGGGAGTCAGTGAGAGAGAAGGACCGAGAAGTGTACTTACTGGAGAAGTATTCACTTGTATTCATAAAGTGGCAGGGGGACACTGTTGATGTGGACAGAGAATATGTGGCTCACTCTACAGTCAGGAGAGCCTTTTCCATGGCTCGCTCACCCTGCCGCCTTATGCTCAAGGAACCTACCCTGCTTGAGGAAGCTGCTGGCTATTGGTCAGCAGTGACTAACCACCTAAGAACCTAAGAAGAAATAGTCATGATCGTATCAAGTGTACTTTGCTCATCAGCTTATTTGTGCTCTTACTTATGCTGTTTAGCAACTACCCAGGTGGAAGCCAAATTATGTGCTGTGGAAGAAGATACTTTTGAGGTCTACCTTTATGTAACAATAAAAAATGAAAAAGTAAGTGAAAGATTTGTGTTTTCAAATATTTTATCAAGGAAAAATGTGATTCACACAACATAGAAGTTATCTGAATGTTTCAAGGTCTGGCTTAAATGAGAAGTTAAATAGGACTGTGTTTCCTTTTTTGATTACTTTGAAAAATTACTTGAGCAATTCATCAGAGCAATATCTCATTTAGTAATGGACAAGAAATTATTACTGTGATGATGAGATGAAATGTGTTATCTTAGGGATATGATTATTATAAATAATTCCTAAGGATCATTATCCCCTCCCCTGATTTTCTCATTGTAATATGTGCTCATTGTTAAGAACTCAGATACCATATGTAGAAAAAGAAAGTGAATGTGACCTGTGAGACCTGCACCCTCCCTTTCCTAAGTATTTGCTGCTACATTTTTGGCTGGCTGCCTTTTCTGAAGGACACCACAAGGTGCAGCTGTTCACCTTGGGAAAGTGGGTGAAGGGCATAGATCTAGGGTTGCCCAGAACCAACAGAGGGCAGCCTACCCAGGGATGGGGGTTGCTAGGGATTGAACCCAGGGCCTTGCACATGCTAAGCACCCACTGTATCACTGAGTTACACTGAGGCTCCACCTAGAGATTAAAATATATATGTGTGTGTGTGTGTGTGTGTGTGTGTGTGTGTGTGTGTGTATGTTTGTGTATATATACATATATATATGAATGAAACACTTCACTCACAGAAGAGATGCAAAAATAATGTGATTATTGTATATACTTTGCCCAGATTTCCCTTTTATGAAATATCTGCAGATTATGCATTCACACCATGTTAAGATTGTGTAGAATCATAGTTATTAAAACCAGAAAGTTAACATTGATAAAATACTGTTTAACAAATTCTCAAATTATTTGAATGCTGCCAGTTTTCCTACTTATTTTCTTTTTCTGGTCTAGGAGCTGATTCAGGACCTGAGTTGCATCTGGTGGTCATGTCTTCTTAGTCTCCTCTAGTCGGACAGTTCCTCAGTCTTTCCTCACCTTTTGTGACCTTGATACTTAAAAAGTATTGGCCAGTTGTTTTCTAGAATGTCACTTAAGTTGGTTTTGCCTGATGTTTTCTCATGATTAGGTTGAAGTTGAGTGTTTTTTGCAGTAATGCCACGGAAGCAATATTGTGCAGGTCTCAGTACATCATTGTGGGGTTTGTAAACATGTCTAATTGCTTGTGATTAGTTCATGTCAATCATGTGGTAATGTAGTGTTGTACAGGTCTTCCCCATATAGTGTTACTGTTTTTTTTCTTTTGATATCAATAATTATTATTTTTTTTAGAAAGAGAATTTTTAAATGTTTATTTTTTAGTTTTCGGTGGACACAACATCTTTATTTTATTTTTTTATGTGGTGCTGAGGATCGAACTCGGTGCCCCGCGCATGCCAGGCAAGGGTGCTACTGCTTGAGCCACATCCCCAGTCCTTAATAATTATTTTATAGGGAGTTTTTTTGAGACTATGCAAATGTTCATCAATGCTTCTTGTCTGTAAAAGTTATTACTGTGGTGGTTGCCTGTTGAAATAGGCAATATTTTTGTCTTCTTCATATTCTACAATATTTTTGTCTTCTGCATTTTTAATTAGAATTATATATTATATAAAGAATCATCCTTCCTCCACCATTTATTAAGTCATTGAATTTATATTAGTATGGATTTTTGGTTACTTGTTTGAGGGATAATAACCATTTCTGTCATTATTGTCTTGCTCAGATTACCTCAGATTTTGGCCATTAGTAGTTTATTCAAAGTGGTTCATGTGTCCTTTCAATATGCTCATCGTTGTTTGAACACTGTTGTCTTTCCCATGTCATAGAATGCTCCAGGATCATTTTGTCATTTTCCACAAATCAACCACTTTGCCAAGAAGTGCTGGTTTCTTTTATTAATGAACGATAGTTAGATTTAAAGATAAGGGCACTAGGTGTGCTTGCTGTTCCTGGAGTATCATTGATTGTATATCCTCTCAGCACAAAGTGTTATGAGATATCTTCAGATAACTAACTTATGCATTCACACGATCTAGATTTTTCTGAAGTCTATCATCTATACATGTGTCAATAGCCCCATCCCTGTAGTTTCAATCCTGCAGCCACAGGATTTGTCGTAATCTTATTCCAACAGTGAGAAACCTACTCTCGTTAGCCACAGTATACTTACATGATCAATCCTGTTTCAGAATTGCTAACACACACATGCTTGTGAAAAGGAAATTTGTCTCTTGTCTTACTTTGAACAGTCAATCAATTGTTTTCACAGTTGCTCGAGTTAGTTTTTTTCTTTCCCTCACTCTTCATTGTGATTGTATTATTCTTTTGTAAAATGGTTTTTTTTTTTTTTAACTGTCTATATTGCATTTGTGGTTCTTACACTCTGGTTGGTTTTACCTATGACATTTCATTGCTTATAGTAAAATTATTATGGTAAAATAGTAAAATTGTTGGTAAAAAATTGTTGGTTCTAGGTCCTGTCTTGTAAATCATCTTTTCTAAAATAAATTCTCTTTTGACTTGCTTTCCTCTTGCTTTTCAAAAGTCTCTCTTTCTCATCATGTAGGTTGTATATGATGATGACTTGCTCTTACTTCAAGATGATAAAGTGCAGACGGCAGGAAGGTCTATGTGGTGCATGAGGCCAGAAAACGGTTAAGGCCAACAGTCCTTTTCTAGATAAAGTACAGGGATATGTCCCAGGGTGTTCTTTTTTGGTCTGGCTTCTTTAATTGAGCAAAATTATTTTAAGAGACATCCATGTTGCTGGATGTATCAATAGTTTGTTCCTTCTATGGTCAAGAACTCTTCTCTTACACAACTAACAATGGTGTGCGCATCCATTCTCTTGTTGATGGACATGTGAGTTATGGCCAGTTTGGGAATATAATATTATAGATGTTTTCCACAGTCATTTACCATTTTATATTCCATCAGCAGGGTATAACACTTCACTTTCTTTATGTCCTCCTTGATACTGTGGCTATTCTAATAGTATATTATTGTGGCTTAAATTAGCATTTGCCAAATGACTGATGTTGCTTTTATGTGCCCATTTTATGTATTTACTTACTTACTATATATATTTTTGAACTGGGAAGTGAACACAGGCATTCTTTACCACTGAGCTATATCCCTAGCCCTTTTAGTTTTTTAAATTTTGTGATAGGGTCTTGCTAGTTGCTAAGACTTACCTTGACTCTTTTTTAAAAAAATTTTTATTCTTTTTAGTTATACATGACAGTAGAATGTATTTTGATATATCATTACATACATGGAGTATAACTTCCCATTTTTGTGATTGTACGTGATGTGGAGTTACATTGATTGTGTAGTCATATATGAACATAGGAAAATTATGTCCAATTCATTCTACATCTTTCCCATTTTCATTCCCCCCCCTCTACCCTATCCAATACAGTGAACCTCTCCTCTCCACCCCCCACCCCACCCATTGTGAGTCAGCATCTGTATGCACATCAGGGAGAACATTTGGCCTTTGATTTTTGGGATTGGCTTATTTCACTTAGTGTGATATTCTCTAGCTCCATTCATTTACTGGCAAATGCCATAATTTCATTCTTCTTTATGGCTGAATAATATTTCATTATGTATATGTACCACATTTTCTTTATCCATTTGTCTACATAAGGGTACCTAGGTTAGTTCCACAGCTTAGCTATTGAAATTACGCTGCTATGAACAATGATGTGGCCAAATCACTGTAGTAAGTTTATTTTAAGTCCTTTGGATATATGCTGAGGAGTGGGATAACTGGGTCAAATAGTGGTTCAATTCCAAGTTTTCTGAGGAATCTCCATACAGCTTTCTTGAGTGGTTGCAACAATTTGTAGTCCCATCAGCAATGTATGAATATACCTTCCTCCCCCCCCACAACCTTGCCAGCATATGTTGTTACTTGTATTCTTGATAATTGCCATTCTGACTAGAGTGAGGTGAAATGTCAATGTAGTTTTAATTTGCATTTCTCTAATTGCTAGTGATGTTGAACATTTTTTCATATGTTGACCATTCATATTTCTTCTTCTGTGAAGTGTCTGTTCAGTTCCTTTGCCCATTTATTGATTGGATTATTTGTGGTTTTGGTGTTAAGTTTTTTGAGTTCTTTATATATCCTGGAGATTAATGCTTTATCTGAGGTGTAGTAGGCAAAGATTTTTTCCCATTCTTCAGGCTCTCTCTTCATGTTCTTGATAGTTTTCTTTGTACTGAAAAAGTTTTTTACTTTGATACAATCCCATTTATTGATTCTTGATTTTTTACTTCTCGTTCTTTCGGAGTCTTGTTGAGGAATTTGGTTCCTAAGCTGACATGATAGAGATTTGGGCCTTTTTCTTCTAGTTAGTCTCTGGTCTAATGCCTGTGACCATGACTCTTGATTCTGCTGCATTAACTTCACAAGTCGCTGGGATTATAATTCCACTATGCCTGGCTTCATATGCTTATTTGCAATCCATGCATCGTTTTTTTTTTTAATATTTATTACTTTGGGGTTTTTTAAAAATTTTTATTGTTGGTTGTTCAAAACATTACATAGTTCTTGATATATCATATTTCACACTTTGATTCACATGGGTTATGAACTCCCATTTTTAACCCGTATACAGATTGCAAAATCACATCGGTTACACATCCATTGATTTATATATTGCCATACTAGTGTCTGTTGTATTCTGCTGCCTTTCCTATCCTCT